CACCTTGGAGCCCACCAGTTGCTTTGATACCCTTTTAGTTGCAAGGCACAGCAAAAAGTAAACATTATTATGTAGAGAACTAAAATACAGATTTACATCAACATGGCTGGGATAGAGAGGTGTTATAACTTCTGAATCTGTTGTTAGAAAGAGTGAATGATCATGCAGACAACGAAGGTCTGGATGATATACTTCATTTTGTAAGATATTTGGAAAGTCCCTTCTCTAGAAGCCTTGGCCCATGCTGTCTTAGTCACTGTAGGAAGATGAATCTATGAGGATTAATAACTATTTATTCTCTGTTCTGTTTCTTATCTTTTCACCAGTTTTCACAGTGGAAAGAATTTACTAGCACTGTCATCTAGAGATTTGCGGGGCTGGATCTGGAGAAGGGGACCACAGGAAAGTGAAACATGGGGGATATTCAGGTAACTTTGGAACCCAAGGCTGATTGTAAAATGGGATGTTGCACTTAGTGAAAAGCATCTCCAGTGTGTGTGTGCCTACAAGTGCAATGGCCTATAAAATAGCTGCTTGTCTGTCAGAAAGAGCTTGGAATCATCCTGGCTAGTGTTCAGAAGACAGCAGGAGTGATTAAAAGGACAATGCTGAGAGCTGAAGCCAAACTCACAAGCCATCTGTTGCGCTATAAATCCAGTGCCGGAGCTGCTCACCGGTGCTGTCCAGAGCAGCGATGTGTGGGTGGCTTTGCCAGTCCTCTGGGAGGACGTGAGGTGGGGCCCTGGCAGAAATATCAGAGTCCGCTTTATCTTGCATTATCCTATCATATATAATCAGTAATTTTTCAGTATGCTAACATCAGCTGAATATTTGAACCAGATCAAACAAAGGAGGAGGGGAAATAATGAAAAGAGATGGTGATCAGAATCTAACTCTCCTTGAAGAGCTACAGAAGTTCTGCACACTGACTTTCTTTCCCCAGCCATTCTGTGTTTTCTTAAACCTATTTAATAAAGGATATTTGTCAATCTAACATTGCTTCTGTTCCAAGACTAGGGCACCTTTGCCATGACTAAGTTCAATATTCTCAAAGCAAAAAGTGACAGCTTACATTCAGTTTTTGTTTAGGGTAACACTTGAAAATGTGATTATTTCTATATACACTATGTGTCCTGAGACATTTCATCAATAAAATAAAATTATCAAATCCATCCATATTAAAAATATTAAACAAAACCATGTCTGCTCTCTTATTATGGGACAAGAAATCAAATTTAAATACTAAATGATTACATACAACCTGAAAAAGGGAATTATAACCTGAGGCAAATGTACAGCTATCCTGAAAGCACCTTTTGTTTGAGAAAGGATGAGTAATTAAGCACATGTCACACCTATAGAGAGAAACTTGGTTTATGGCATGAAATTTTGTATAACAATTGCAATACTGAAATGCACCTGTCTTTTGCTAGAACTGCCAGCCTCGTCTGCTCAGCAGTGCTTTTAGTTTTTACACTGCAATGAGGAGAAAGTGCTTCTCCACGGTTTGCTATGCCCCACTTCTCTCTGTACACTGGTCATCCTGTGCAGAAAATTGTTTCTGTGCTATTACAGCAGTGAGTTTGTCTCATGTGGTAGGTTTTAAAGCAGCAAACAGAAGTTGCACTCAGTAGGAAGCAGAGCTCTCCTGGTAGCCTCTGCTGTGCGGGAGGCAGCCACCTCCCAGCCCCTGGACCAGACACTGTGGGGATGGATGTGGCTGTGGAGCTCCAGCCACCTGCTCCCACCCAGTCCCTCGGTACTCAGACCTCCATAGCCCAAAAGAGCCAGCTGGGCTAACTGAAGAGTGGGATTTGAACTGTGTGTATCCACGGTCAGTGATGTGGTTTCAAGCCAACCAGCAACTAAGGCCAGCTGCTCACTTGCCACCAGTGGGATGGGGGAGGGAATCACAGGGACAAAAGGGAGAAAACTTGTGGGTTGAGATAAAGACAGTTTAGTAGGGAAAGCAAAAGCTGTGCACACAAGAAAAGCAGAACAAGGAATTCATTCACTATTTCCCACAGGCAGGCAGGTGTTCAGGCATCTCCAGGAGAGCAGGGCCTCATCTCACACAACAGTGACTTGGGAAGACAAACACCATCACTCCAAACGTCTTCTGCTTCCTTCTTCTGCCCCCAGCTTTACATGCTGAGCATGAGGCCACATCCTCTGGGGTACCTCTGTGGCCAGCTGGGGTCAGCTCTCCTGGCTGTGTCACCTCCCAATTCCTTGTGCATCCCCAGTCTCCTCACTGGTGGGTGAGGAGCAGAAAAGGCCTTGATTCTGTGCAAGCACTGCCGAGCAATAAGGAAAGTATGCCTGTGTTATCAGCCCTGTCTGCAGCACAAATCCAAAACACAAAGCTGCTCTGAAAAAATCTTAACTTCCCCAGCCAAAAACAGCTCAGTTGGGCTTTTTAGCCACAGCAGGAATTTGGGGTTAGACCCCAGAGAGGCAGTGGTGTTGAGCAGCTTCAGTGAAAGAGAGGGCCCCCAAAGTGCATAGTGCATCTTCATCTAATGGATCCTGGGAGAAAGTCTCTTCAAGCACAAGAAACACCCATGTTGGTAAAACCCTACTGGAAGAATAAACAGGGCAAGATGTGATTTATCCTGGGTACTGGTATTTAAAAAGGGAGGAGAAGGGAGTGCCAGCAAATTCCCAGATTTCCCTTCACTAGGAAGAAATTAATTGCTACAACACTATGGTCAAATGTAAACAGAACTTCCCTCAGGTTACTATAAGCTATCCATAGGTGCATGCTTCAGTACAGATGCCCTGTCTGTGTGGGGCAGGACAACAGCAAGTAAGAAAAAAAAAATAATCCAAAAAGCTTCTAAAAAGGAAGGTGGTCCATACTGGGCCTTTAGCCAATAAAATCTGCAAAGATGGATGTGCAATTTTTCTTGTAGAATTACACACTTTATTTGGAGAATAATACTATGCTTATATGAAAGCACTTGGTTACAAAAATCAACCTGATTTTACCTTTTAGCAATTATTTCAAAGCTTGACTGTCAAGTCAGGATGTGAAGGATTTCAAAGGATGCAAACTTCACTCTGTATTAATTGTACTCATGATATTACAGGTATTCAAATTACTGTTTGCAGTTACATATGTCTAATACTACAGTTGGCTTAGATTAAGGAGTAACTATCACCCTCCCTGGATGGTTTTTACCTTCACTAGTTTAAAACCTCTCAATATCAGAATTAACTTCTCATGGGTAGAGCAGTGATGGAGCCCTGCAGGCACTCAGAAATAAGTCCCAGGAATAATTCTGTAGGGCCCTAGACTACTTGTGCATTCCCCAGATCAAAGCAGAGTTAGAAGATGAAAAAGTTTCATTAATTAAATGTCTAGCTCAAAATTATTCTACCTATTCTGTAAGAGATCACAAGAGACTTGTCTTCCACTTATCCCTGGACCTTTTCTTTCATGCAATAGTACAGATTTTTAAAATAATGTTTATTAAAGGCACAGCCTAACTTCTGAAGGACAGGATTTTTGCTGTGAGGGCTGGGGCATCACTCACCTGCTCAGCAGCGAGTAAAGGAGTTTTACACTCTGCATACTGAGGAGTGCTCCAAGGTCAGCCCTCAGGAGCTCAGTGTCTCAGAACTGGAATCCCTCCTGGCAGGAATCTGTGAAGCTGTAAGTACAGGCATGACCAGACACACTTTGACAGCTCCAAGCAACCTGAAACTCAGTTTAGAAATAAGCCAAGTTTATGCAGTCTTAAAATTGCTGACTAGCTGCTTCCTTCAGGGGTAGCATTACCAGTTTACAAGCAGCATGTTAAACTATGGTAGAGAGCTAAAAGCAGCAGGAGGGCCACTTTCCAGGGCAGAACTATCAAGGCAGCTACACATAACCTACACAGCTTGTCAAGATTTTAACTCCTTTCCTATTAAGGAACAAAGTTTTAAAAATATTGGCTAGCTATTATTATTATCACCCAATCTGAACAGAACTGCTTTGACTGTAAGTCCTTAGAAGAGTCAACTAGCAAATATTTTAATAAGAATTTACAGAGTCAATAGGAAGATATGGTTTCCAATTTAAAATTTAAGGATGCAAAATGAAATTCATGCTAAAGCAGCTCTGCATTTACTGCAGCAGCTTGAGGCTGGGTCCTGCTTTCTAGCAGTTTCCACACTTTAGACATTAAAAACCTTGTAAACAGACAAAACCAATTTTCCGGTAAGCAAAAGCACCTCTTTTCACGCAAGAAATTGGTGTTATATAAATGACTGAAATATTTATCTGGTTATCTGATTTGAGGGCACGAAGGCAGAACTGGGACTTAAGCATGGAAGTGGATCAATAAACTAGGATGAACAAACCAAAGTGCTCTATTGAAACAAAAACTGTAAAATAGAGACCTCAATTGGAAATGAATAAGTTTGAAAGCTGAGTGTTTGGGGGAGAGTTGTTATTGTTGTTTAAAAATACAGTTCTATGCTTGTGACAAGAACAAGTTAGCACAGAGCAATGGTAGCAGGCTGTTTTCTGCATCCAGTAAGAGAAATAACAGGCTTAAACTAAATCAAGACAGATTCAAACTGATGATTGAGAGCAATTTTTTAACAGTGGACATACAGACATAACAGAGTAAATGACTGCTAAATGAAGTCTTTGTCCTTAATGATTTTAAAACCATCTTGGAACAAGTGACTCATCTCTAAACCCACTGGAGAAAGAGTTAAGTATCACTAAACTTTCACTAAACACATTCTTAAACTGGTTTTATTAAAAAAGGGAAAAAAATAAGGAGCAGGGGGGTGAATACTCACAACAATTCAGTCAAGTCATCCCTGCTCAAGCAGCAGCTGAAGTAATTGTGAAAAGCCACTGAAAGTTTTTCAAATCTTCCATCAGAGAGGCCTCTGCTGTACTTGGATTGATCTCCCACAGTCCTTTCCCATTACTTTAACAAGTGCTGCACTTCAGATCCTATCCAGAGCCCACCTGAAACTAGTTTCATGCCTGTGCATAAATAAACAAGGGACTAATCATTTCACAGCTGTATGGCAAAGCATTAAAGGCAGCTCAGCCACAGCAAGGGCCATGCTAGGCCTGGGTGGTCCCACATCCTGCACTTGCTGGCACAGCTGGGATTTCTACCCATGGCAAGTGAACAAGCACACAGCCTTTGCTTACGCAAACACACCCCACCTTTCCTTTCCCTTCAGCTCTTCTCATCTCGAGAAAAAAAGGGGCAACAACTGCTGTGTTAATGGTGCGGGCTTTGTGCTCCTCTTGATTTATTGTACAGCTCCAATATATTTTATTCAAATACTGGCAGAGGCACAATTACCAGATTTCCTCATAGGAAATGCTATGAGACACTAACCTATTGCAGAGTACTCCAGAACAAACTGGAGTCTGGAGTTAAGAACATTTCCATGAAAGTCAGCACTCCTTCCTTTTCACAGAGCACAAACGAAGCATCTTTAAACTAGGGCTGTGGTCTTTGTGCACATTAAAGCTGATTTTTCAGAAGATGTCAGCACTCTGTACAGATCTTCCTGTGGATTGTGGGGCTTCTGGACCACCAGCTTCATATCTAGTCATAACACAGTAGTCTACCATATCAGTTCCTAAATTATAGGAGTTGTCTTTTAAAATGAGTTGTTTCTTCCATCCCTTCCTGCCATGCTGTTCTCATGGTTAAAAAAAACCCTACCTTCTTCCAACTTCCAGGCTGAAATGATTCATTGCTGATGTGTAAAAATCTATTCTTATGCCAGTATTGTTCATAGCTTCATTACCTCTCTTCCACACTGCTGTTCACGCTGCTGTGCACTGCTGTCCTCTTTCAACCTTGACTTTGAGACTAAATAAACCACACAGCTTGGTCCTCTCCAAATTATTCCACCTGACATTTCTCTGTATCTATTAAAAATATTACTTCACCCCCTTGGGGCTCAGGTGCCTATGACAAAGAACAATTAATACCACCATACATTTGCCCTTTTCATGACTAGCTCACTCAGGGCTTCAGAGTCACCCCTTGAGCCACCAGTGCTCCCTGACCAGGCACGCCTGAACACTGACTGCTGCTGCTACAGCAGTTCTGCAAAGCCAGCTCCAGCATACCAAAACTGTCACTCAGCTTCTGCCTGATTTGGACTTGGCCTCTTCAGAAAACCTAACTTACTTGTCTAACATCTCACAGACACTGTGGCACCAGAGACTAAGTCCAGCTCCTCTGAGAGCTTTTAAATACCTCAGCCATGAGATACTGCCTCCATCCTTTTTACCTCCTTCAATCTCCTAACAGATTGCTGCCCGCTTTCTAACCTCTGGCACGGACCAGGCGGTGCTCGTGGTGCCAGACGTGCTGCACGATCCATTCCTGCCCCAGGTGTGTCCAACCCTGAGTGGTGATCAAGTGCTGCACTGGAGAAAAAACAGCCACTTGTGATACATGCCTGATGAGGAGCATGAAAGGAGAGGCAGCAGACACTGAGTCTGACTCTTTCAGTGCTTGACTTTGCAGCACAGACATTGAACGCCTCTGTAAGCGTGCATAGACAAGAGTTTTCCTGGCATTTTTTTAAAAAGCTTATACTGAAAACAATAGATGTCAGTGATATACACGTGAGTCACTGCTAGAACTGGGACTTTTAAATCCAATGCACAGATACCTGTCACTTGAACCAAGGACACAGACAAGGACCTCCCCCAGACTCCTCTGTTCTGGTGCCTGGTGGTAATGCCCACTGCAGAAGTGACTGCAAAGACACTCCCAAATGGAGCTCAGACAAAAGCAGCTGGGTGAGACAGCTCTCACATCATCCCTTGTACTCACAGACCGAGCCCAACAGTAGCAGGAGGTGGGGAAAAACTTTATTTTTACAAATTTGAGCTTTAAAACTTCAGTTTTGCAGGAGAGCACTTCTTCCTGTGCATCCCACCCTAATGCTGCTTGGAGAGCAGGTGGGCAGTTAATAAATTCCTTATATGGAGGGAAAGAGGGGAGTCTGTTTTGCAGGAGAGATGTGTTTATGTGGGCTGGGAAAGGTATAGGGGAAAGCAAGTCACCATTGCCTTGTGGACCAGCTCGACACCCAGAGGCTGGTCCACTGCCAGCTGTCTGCACAGCCATTTGAACTGAGACATGGCAAAAGCTGCTGTTGAAGAGTTACCAGTTTCCCCCTGCAATTTGGACTCAGACTCACCCTGCTCTCCATCTTCTCCCCCTTCCTTCCCTGAGCTTTCCTCCTCCATCTCCTCCAAACAATACACTCAGGGCAATTCCCAGTTCTTGGTCCCTACTTCTAGCTTGTTGTGTCCATGTTCCTTCCTTCCCTCACATACTCCTAGCCAATTTTTCCAACTCAAGCCGTCACAACTTCCTGTCTCTCCTCATCAAATCCCAGTCCCTAATTCATCCCACACCCAAGTCATTTGCCCAACAAATCCCACTACCCTCAACTAAAAGTGAATTACTTTCCCCATTCCCTCATGTTTACCCCATTTATCATCAATGTCTTCCCCCTCTCACCTATAGTATTTTCCATTATTAAGCACTGGAAAGCTGAACACTGGATTTGGGGGTCTTCCTTAGGAAGAACTACAACAGGGAAAGAGGGGATAGGAAAGAAGGCATCAGTGGGAACCAGGAATGGCAACCTCCTCCCTGTTGAGCCCAGTGATGAAGCCCCTGCCATAGTTACATGGTTTTGATTCCCACTGTACCACATTGAGTTTTCTATGGCAAAGAAAGAGGTTTGCACATGCTCACTTGAGATAAGACCAATGCAGTTTTTATTTGGTATAAAATAAAGATACACACATACCAAAACCACTTTTACTGAGCACGTGCTATCCATTTTATACAAACATTAATATATTTGGCCAAATCAGAATAGAAAGCAGAGGTAAAAATAAAAACATAGGGGACATCCTCTACAAAGAGGTAATTTCCCCCTACCCAAACTGGAGTTCCTGTCCCAAAACACTGAACTGGCAAATGATTTCCAAGCAAAAATCTTTGAGAATATTTGAACACAGGCTAAAGACAACCACATCCTAAATTAAAAAGAATATGCAACTGTTTTGACTGAAATTCCAAGAGACTTAAACCTTATGCCCATCACAATTCAGTCTATATACAGTTGAAGTTTGGCAAAGTTGGACCTTTAGAAACAGGGCAACAAATTTGGAAGCTCCAGGGAAGGACTGGATTCCCACTTAACAACAAGAAATGGCACTGCAGGTGCCCCTGGTTAACAGCAGAGCTTAACATCTCAGTGCTGGAAGCAAAAATTTCACAGTATTCAATATCCAGACTGCAGATCCTAAAACATTAATCAGCTTCCAACCTGTTGCTCAGAGCTGAGACTGCCAGATATACATCTCAGCAACAAACAACAGGCCCCTTAATCCCTGAAACCCACCACCTCAATGTGTTTGCATCCAGCGTTCATGTCTTTCAAACACAGACAAGAGGACAGTCTGGACCTGGCCCCTCATACACACACACACACAGAGCCAGCAGGGTGTTGAAAACTGCTAGTGCAAGGTTTGACAAATCATACTTCTCCCCTGTCATTCTCCATGGCGGTAGGTGTCACGTCAAGTTAAATGGGAAAGACAAAACAACATCTCAGGTAATCCCAGTGCTGCACGGATTGCGTGGTGACTGAGAAATGACATGCACCATCAGAGAGTCTCAGTGACAGCTCTCTGTGTCCAAGAAAGGAACAGAACATGCTGTCAGGCTTGTTGGCTCTCAGGGTTTCAGTTGTTTAATTGTGTTACCATAACAAACCCAGAAACTCTGCAGTATTTTTATCATTGAGCTTCACTGAAAGTGGTGATACTGAGAACTTAATGCAGAAATTCAGGACTTTTCTTGATGCCCAGACTGATGGGGGAGGAGGGGGATAATATGACTCATGCAATACTGAAGTTGTTAAATAAGTAACTTCAGAACCATTCTAACACTTCTATTAGGTACTGCAACTGATGCCAAACTATTTCTATTGTACCTGCAGTATGTAAGTACATACTGTGGATATCTACAAGGACTCCATCAGTAATATCCTGAGGAGTAGAAATAAGGCAGGGCCCAAGTATTTCTTGGCCCTGGACTCCCGTCATTTCCCACAAGAATGTCATTAGTTTGCCTCCCCAAAAGAAACAATTTAAATACAGGTATGATGTTGTGAAAGAGCAGTTAACATGGAAATATCCCAGCCTTTTATGAATAATTACAGTACTGAAGTTTCTAACTCCCTTAACTCAGTGACAACCAGAAGTTAAGTAAAGTAAACACAGATGACAGAAATGTCTTGTGAGCATTTGTCAGTTTTGTACCCATTTCCCACTATGATTTTTAAATAAATAAAAGTTCTTAATTCATTCTAGCACAATGTAGCACAAGTAGGTAATTTTCATCAATCTCAGTCTGAAATACTAAAACTTTATGGCTGAGTCCTTAGAACTCCAGTTCTAAGCTTTCCAAGTTCAAGTTGGCTATAAAAATGTGTTTACTGTTCTCTTGCTTATCATGCCATGCTCTGCTCTAAATGCTCAATTTTCTACATCATCCAGTAGAACTGTGACTTCACCTCAAACTGCCCAAGCTATAAATGTCCAGCTGCTCTCAAAATGCAGTCCAACTATGGATGTCCTGCTTTCAGCAAGTTCTGGTTGGTACCAAAGATCTCTGCCACTAAAACTCCATGCTGGATGTTATAATCAGTCCTCTGTCTTTTCAGGTAAATACCAACACTGATATATGTTTTTTCTTCATGGCCTGAATTTCAAGACCAAGTACATGCTGTAATGCTGAATGATGTTGTCCAATGCCATCAAAGCACCCTGAAGAGAAAAATGGGATGCATTTGTTGGTGAGCCTTAGTTGTCCTCCTTGGGCAGAAGAATTTCAGAAAACCTTCAAACATGTGACTGAAGCTCACATGTCACACCACCAGTCATTAAGCAATTGTCATCCACATACTGTTCTAAGATGTCACTTTGGCCTACTTGCTCCTTTCTCAGCTTTGGATATTCCCTATGGATTTTTTAGATGAGTTTTCTAATGAATTCAGGTGCACTGAATACAAACCAAAAATTGCACTTGCTATATTTTGTACACTTTGCCCAATGGAGCCCTTTTCACATTATACCAAAATTAAAATAAAAAATAAAAAATAATCACTCATGGAGAGCAACCAGGCTAGTGAAAAACTTTTGCTGACAGAAATAATTCCTGACACAGAAAATGCACCTATCATAGAATATCCTGAGTTGGAAGACACCCACAAGGATCAGCAAAGTCCAACTCCAGGCCCTGCACAGCCCCAACAGTCACATCATGTGCCTGGAGCATTGTCCAAAAACTTCTTGAGCTCTGTCAGGCTGGTGCTGTGACCACTTCCCTGGGGAGCTGTTCCAGTGCCCAGCCACACTCTGGGTGAAGAACATTCTCCTGATATCCAACCTAAACCTCCCCTGACACAGCTTCAGGCCATTCCCTGGGTCCTGTCACTGCTCACCAGAGAGAAGAGATCAGTGCCTGCCCTTCCACTCCCCCTCATGAGGAAGCTGTGGACTGCACTGAGCTCTCCTCTCAGTCTCCTCCAGGCTGAACACACCAAGTGACCTCAGATGCTTCTCACCCTTCACCACCTCTGCAGCTCAAACATGGAAACAGTTTCAGAAAACACCAAATAATTTCCAATAAGAGGATTTCCTCACAGCTATAAGAATCTAGTAAAGCTAGATGTTAGCACTTCTTTGCTCATCATGATGAACCATTTCAAGTGAAATTAAGTGTGAATTTTGAAAGACTTATGAAAGACATTTACCACCTGAAATGGCATGATGAGATTCCCTGTCAGGATGAGGAGAATGCTTAACTGTTGCATCACACAATTCTGTGACTGCAACTTGCTAAGAAAAAATCAACAGGATATACTGGATTTTAATCTCACATTCAATTTAAGAAAATAAGTACCGTATAATCTTTTGGCATGCACAAAAATCTTAATTTCTTTCCAAACCTGTTAGTGCAAGCCAGGCTGGGTGTAGTCCCAGAAAAGCCTTCCAAAATAGGTTACCTGACACAGGTTATCAAGGCATTGTACAGGTATTGTCTATCTATACAAATACCATTATTAAATGCCACTGAAACACCCAGAGACAAATTTTGGTGTCACAGGCACTGTGAGAGAATGCAGAAACATCCCTTAGATAAGACACAAGGTTTCCCAGAACAAAATGAAACCCTTTAATTGTTACTTCAAGCAGAAGCCCAAGGTTGCAAAACTGTAGGAAGTACGCTACAGGAAAATGGATAAATTTGTTTAAAAACATATTTATTACTACATTTTCCTGTCAGATAATGAAAGAAACCTGCCTCTTGTGCCAACATACTCTCAGATGGGAAGATCAAGGGAAAAAAGAGCTAAAATAAATGAAGGTTCATCCTAACTTAGTGATATGCTGTACAGCATAACACTCAAGAGCACAAAAATGTACAGTGTAATTCAAACACCTCCTCCATGATAACATAACATCTTTGAACTGCCTTTATTTTCAGCATTTTATATAAATACTGCTTTCTTTCTGATCCTGGATTATTCTCAATTTGAAACCCACGTTCTGGGTTTGTATGAGGACCACATATAAGCATCCCTAAAATCCTGTACATTCTTGTGGGGCCATTTAAAGACTACCAGACTGTAATAGATTCAAAAGCAGTCTCTATGAAATGAGGAAACTGCAGCCTTAAACTACAACTGAACCTTCTATCCCCACTTCATGAAATTAAGAAACAATCAACTTGCAGATACACACACACACCTTCTGGCACAAGTTGCAGGATATCTGCAAGAACACATAATTTTAAAATCCAAAATAAAACTCCAGGGTTTTTTTTTGTTTGTTTCCTCTTAGGAAACATTTGTTTTTGTCCAGGAGTTGCCAGCTGAGAGGATGTTATTGTTTGGCAGGGATGTGATCAGGAGGACCCTGAGCACGGCACAATGTGTCAGCCCGGAAGAGTGTTATTGTTTGGCAGGGATGTGATCAGGAGGACCCTGAGCACGGCACAATGTGTCAGCCCGGAAGAGAGAGAAGAAAAGTGATTCTCTCATCTGACGGGGAAAACCAAACGGAAATGTCGAGCATTTGCCTTCCAGTTTCATTCACCCCTACACGTGTTCCAAAGAAACATGTTAGTCACCAGCATCTCACATGAGTATCACCAAACTATATCAATATATGTATATATAAAAAAAATCCTACTTTCAAAACAATTACAGATTTCTTATGAAAAGCAAAGATTTCTGCCACAAATACCTTTGAAACACATAAGCAGGCGAATGCTTTCCCTCTCTGCGTGACCACATACCCTGCTGCTCAGAAGGATGGACAGAGTTTGACACAGTTCCCCTTCCCTCAGCCCCCTCCCTACAGCACCAGCAATGAACAGGGGCAGAGACCATCCCTGCAGAGCAGGTTTGGAGCAGGAGTGCTGAGTCCTACCCTGCAGCAGGCACCCTCCTGGCTGTCCAGGGCCCTGCTGACCTCGCAGACTTCACAGAAGCCTCTTGTGTTTCAGCAGCAGTAGGACGGAGGTCAGTGTGATTCAGAGCTCCAGAAGGGCAATGCTCTCACAGAAACACCTTCCAGGCCCTCTAGTTCCTTGCTGAGAGTCTTCACCTGGGGGATTTTTAAATTTTCATGCAGTTTGTTTGTAGCATACCCGTGCTTTATACAGGGTCACGGTTTCATGCTAAAAGGCTCCAAGAGTGATGCCGTACTCGGAGGACGCCTCTCGCCAAACCCTTCTCGTAAATAAAACATCCCCCTGCCCTCTCCACGCAGCCCAGAAGGAACACACACAAACCACAACGAAGCCACAGCGGCAGGGGGTGCCTGGGCTCTGCAGCGCTGCCTGTACCCGAGGCGAGGCGAGCGTCCCTCAGCCGGGGCTGTCCCCGAGGGAGCGCCCGGGCCACCGAGTGGG